ACGTTGTTTTGATAGTCATTACATTTGCACCTTTTTTTGGGTACATTTTAATTTTGAAAAGTTCACAACACCAATACAATTCATCTTTATTAGTGCAAATTGATGTACCTATAATCAACCCTTATGTTTGGTCACATAATTATCATCATTGTGAGCAAAATGATATGGTAATTTGTTGCACTCTTTAATATTGAAGAACCACTATCACCGACACATGTGTAATTAGTCATACAATTTGTAAATTTTTTATGCACATATAAATGTGAAATATATAATGCACCACTTTTCCTCGCACAATTGCAACTCATCTGAATATTTGTTCAATCCAAAACCTAGTCGTGTGTGCGGGCGACTTGCGAACATGAATGCCATCTGAAAAATCTATCATTCAAAGATACGGTCTAATTTTTTGTTCTTCCCGTAACGCTTTATTTTTCCAGAACTGCTCCGCTTTCTGTTGCCTTCCGGACTAGAGAACCTAAGAGGGTTTCTGATTTCCGTTGGACACCAGAGAACCTAAGAGGGTTTCTGCTCGCTTCCGGACAGAAGGCCTTGGGGTCTTCTAGTGGCTTCAGACCAGAACACCTCGAGGTGTTCTGGTGGAGGTATTTTGTTCGCACCAGAAGGTCTTCTGGTCCGTTACAGCAATAAATGCCCAACGTTCTTCTCTTTTAATGCTGCGTTAAATGGACAGTTTATGGACGATTCAATGCCCAACGGACTGGTCATTGATATCCAACGTTCAGGTCCATTAACACCCCATTTAACACACAACAAATCCTCCTGTAAATGGCTGGCAGGTGGTTTGCAACAAACACACGTTCACAAGCAATCATACACGTATTTTAGCTCTCAAAAAAACCTTCAGCTCTCTGAAAATTTCCCAAGTGTTCTGCTATTGTTCCAGTTCGCCGGGACTTTCGTTTGTGTGCTCAAACGATCGCTCGTTAGCCACCGTATCCTGGGAAACGGCCGTTGCAACGCTCCTAGCACCGTGGGAGGTGACGAATACGTTTTAAGGACATCATGCGTAGCACGAGCTCTGGCTAAAATCTGCTCCATCTTATTTCTATTTTTCTTTAGCTATTTTATTAATTAATTAATTATTTTTATTAATTAATAGTTCTTCGTTTTTCCGAAACACACCCAACACCAACTTCATCTAATGCACATTGAATTTCACATAAAGCAAATCTAACGGTCTAGATTCATTCTCATTTTTCTCATAAGATCATGTTCTTATTTGAACCAAAACCTATTTTAACCCGGAAGGCAGACCACCAAAATGAGTGAGGTAAATGTCGGGAAACATTTACCATAGTTTTATTAAAATAATGAGGAAATACAAAGGAAGAGGGGGACCAAACCAATACCTCTTCAGAGAAGGCATACCTTCTCAAAATACAACGAAAAACGGCAAATGAAAATAGATTGGGGGGCTAGTCCCCATCAAAGGAGCACCCGTTTTTCAAACTTCTAAAATTTGTTAAATATGGGAAGAGAAGACCAAAGAAAGGGGAGAGGGCTAGATCCCCCGGGTACACTACACAAGATGAGGAAGATGATCAAGATGGCCAAACCGTAAGAAGTGTGAAAGCTTTTGATGAGATATACTCGGATGAAACAATTATTGACATGGACCCGGCATTGGATTTTTCTAGTCCAACTATCAAAGTCAAGCATGTAGAAGAGGTGGACAAGGAAGCAACTATTATCAAACTTGGTCACAACTTGAACTTAGTTGAAAAACATGATCCCGGTGTATCTTTTACAAAGGAATGTCTTGAAAGCTTACCGGATGTTACACAAATAGACTAAGGGTATGCTTTCGGCCCATCATTTATGAGAGGAGTCTATAGACATTATCTTAATAGATTCTTTGAAGAGGGCTGCCCGAGGGGAAACTCATGCAAGGTGAAGGATCCTAGGAAGGTCAAACTTGATCAAACCCGTGTGGTACATGATATAAGGGATGCCTATCTTGATGATGTCATTGCTAAAGTGGAAATTTTTGAAGACCAGCCGCCAAATATCCATCTTAGGCACCTTGATGAGGTCAATGAAATGATGGTTAGACTTGACAACTATCTAAGTGTTCAAAATCAAGCTTCGAGCACCAAAGCCATCAATTTCACTCAAGAATGTCTAAGATCTCTACCGGGAACCATTCCAACCGATGAGGGGTATGTCTTCACTTCTTCTTTCTTTATTTCTTGCTCTTTATTACTAGGTACACTCCAAGAGAATCCAAAAAACTGCCCTTGGCCGAGGGAAGGAATGCAAGGAAAGGATGGAGGAGGCCTACCACAAAATCTTCTTAATGATAGTGTCCTCATGGAATGTCCGAGGCCTAAATAAAGTCTCCAAACAAAAGCTTATCTCTAATTTTGTGAAGACTAACAATGTACATATTTGTTGTTTGCTTGAAACTAAAATGAGCACCCCAAATTTTGAAAAGTTTACACGTAATAAATGGCCTTCTTGGTCATCTATTACCAACTTTGACAAAAGTGATGGTGGACGCATTGCTATTTTTTGGAACCCCAATCATGTGTATGTTAATGTCTTAGAAGTTGATAAACAACACATCCATTGTGTTTTCATATGCTTGACCACTCAACTTGTCTTCTATGTTACCTTTGTTTATGCATTATATTCGGTTGTTGAAAGAAAAGTGCTTTGGGGCCATATTGCTCGCTTGGAACCTTCTATTGACAGCCCTTGGATTGTTATGGGAGATTTCAACTGTGTGTGTGTGTGGGCCTAATGAGAGGGTGGGGCCTACCCCTCCCTCGGCTTATCATTTACAAGATCTAAATGATCTCAAAGTACAAGCAAATTTAGTTGATACTCCATCTACGGGTGAGTTCCTTACTTGGAATAGAGGATCCCTTTGGGCTAAACTTGATAGAGTCCTTATGAATCCTCTTTGGGGTACTCATGGGATCTCTTGCACTACACATTTTCATGATATGGAAGTTGAATTTGACCATGTGGCTTCTATAGTCACTCTAGGCCAAACCAACAATTTGGGCTCAAAACCGTTTAAGTTCTTTAATATGTGGCTCAAGCATGAGACTTTCAAACCTACTCTTACCTCATCTTGGTATAAGGAGGTCTATGGAAGTTCTCAATATATTTTAGCCCAAAAATTGAAACTTTTAAAGCAACCTCTTAAAGAACTAAACAAGCTGAATTTTAGTCACATCTCCAAGAGGGTCAAGGAATCTAAGAAGGAGTATAAAGGGCTGCTTAGCCTTTCTATACTTTCCCCCCTTGATGAGCCCCTTAAGATGGATATTGCTATTTGTAAGAAGAAGCTCATTAACCTTAAAAAAGCTGAAGAGGATTTTTTTAGGCAAAAGGCTAAGCCACGCATCTTGTCCAAAGTGATAAATGTACGAAATATTTTCATTCTATTGTTAAGAAGAATAACACTAGGAACTCCATTACGGCTCTAAATCTTCCTAATGGCAATCCTACCACCTCAATTGATCAAGTTGCATGTGAATTGGTAAATTTTTATACATCTTTGTTTGGTACTCATTACCCAAATGCTCCTTTGGACCCGAATATTGTGACCTCGGGTAAGACCTTACCCTCTCACTTGAAAGACAACCTAGCCTGATTGCACCTTTTTCTGACCTTGATATTAAGGAGGCTTTGTTTGACATAGGAGATAACAAGGCCCCTGGCTCTGATGGGTACACTTTGGCCCTTTTTAAAGAAAATCGGGGTATTGTTGGAAACGACATGATTAAGGCTGTCAAAGATTTCTTTGGGTGTGGCAGAATTCTTAAGCAAACTAACCACACAGTTATTGCTTTAATTCCTAAGACCAATCATGCTCCTACAGTTTCTGACTTTAGACCCATTGCATGCACTAATGTTGTTTATAAAGTTATCACTAAGGTGTTGGCTAAGAGGATGATTCCTTGCCTGCCTGACCTTATTGATCCGGCCCAGGGGGCTTTTGTTGATGGGAGACTCATGATTGATAATATTTTCATTGCCCAAGAGCTGGTTAAAGGATACACTAGGAAAAGAGTATCTCCCAGATGTATGACTAAGATTGACCTTAGGAAAGCTTATGATACAATATCATGGGATTTCTTGGCTAATATGCTAACACATTTGGGCTTCCCTAGGAGATTCATTAGATGGGTTATAGAGTGTGTCACCACACCCTCCTACTCTATCTCAATAAATGGATCCCTCCATGGTCACTTTAAAGGGAAGAGGGGGCTAAGACAAGGTGATCCTGTGTCCCCTATCCTATTTGTACTTTGTTTGGAATATCTATCTAGACTGTTGAATGTAAGAACACAGGATCCATGCTTCAAGTACCATCCTAAGTGTGGCAGCCTTAAGATATCCCATGTTGCATATGCGGATGATTTAATGCTCTTCTCCAAAGGGCATAAACCATCTATCAAGATCCTTGTTGATTCCTTGGAGGATTTTGGCAGAATTTCCGGCCTCATGGTAAATTATTACAAGTCAAATATCTTTCTTGGAGGTGTGGCTGATTATGACCTAAATAGTATCCTTGAACTTGTGGATTTCAAAGTGGGTGTTTTCCCTGTCAAGTACCTTGGGGTGTAACACCCCGATTTTTTTTAATGAGCTAACTATTTTAATAATTAGTTATTATTTATTTTAGTCAATTAAATAAGTTTCTTCTATGACTAATGTGATATATTGTTTAACATATTTTATTTGTACAGATAACGTCGTCCGGAAAGCTCATATAATTTTAAGTGAGGAAATAATTAATATTTCATATTATTAGTATATTACTAAAATGGAGAACATAATAATTTGAAGTTTAAAAAAAAAATGTTTTAATGTTTTATCAGATTTACTGAAAGGGAAAATGTTTTTGAAACAATTATTTTAAAGATAATTAGAGGCCCGAAGTTGTTAACTTGGCCCAGATAAATGTGTTTAAAGCTGAAATCCCTAGAAAGGCAAAATAGAATATTTAACCATCCGTAAAGCTTGAGGATCGGCTCTCTTCTTTAGCTGCCACTTGCCGTTCTTTTAATCTGAACACTTCAAGCTTTCCTTCCAACTCTTCATCAAACCAACCAGATTATTTATCAGATTTATCTTTGCATCTTGTCGGGTAAGCTTGATTTCTTCCATCTAATTATAATTCGACCTTGAGTAGTTAATTTTATAAGGTTTTGCTTGAATCCTTCGTTTTTGAAACTATCACAGAATCAGATCCTTTGAGAATGTTTTGCTTCGTAGTGCAAATTTTGTGATAACCTTGGGTTTATTTCAATTCAATCGTAGACCAATTTGGCTGCTGCAATTTTCAATTTAAAAGACTTCTTTACAGTTTTTGAAGGCTTATTGATCTGGAAAAAAAAATGATTCATCTGAAACCTAAGCTTGTGTTGATGTTTTAATTTAGTAGATAGAATGTTGAAGTGGGGGGCTGGTTTCGTTTGTTTAATTTTTAGGACCTTAAGTGATGGGAATTAATTGGTTGATGAATGGAGATTGTAAAATAGAAGAATTTCTATCCAGAATGTATAATCGATTGGTGCTTAGCTAGATTTCTACACTGGATGACCTGAATATTAGTTTAGTTAAAGGTGATATACTGATAAAGTAGTGTTTTGTAAAAACAAAAAGAAGGCTACTGAATTGATTTTTGGTCGGCATTTTCAGCAGAAAAATAGATTTCAATGATAGAGTTTGGTTCCCAGTACCATCTAATTAGGTTTTGGTTATAGCATAATGAGTTTAATCGTAATATTATATTATATTTAATTAAAGATTTAAGAGAAGAGCTTATCGGAAGACGTTATCGAGGTGCCACATTTATCTGAGTATTTTGAGTTCAGCTATTATCAGGTAAGTTCACTACCACCTGTACATGTTTGTTCAACCAAATGAAAGAAAGAAGTCTGGTTGATTTTTAGTAGATGATTTTAGACTATTTGCTATTATGTGAGCTTGGTGAATTATTTGTTGAGTTATTGCAATTGTTGTATTAAGTTATGTTTATTATCTAGCATAGTCAAGATTATGTCAGTATCTTATTTGAAGATTTTAATGATGTTTTTACCCAAACGTCACTATAAAAAAAAGAACTAATATTTAAAGTGAAAGATCATGTGATATGTACTCGGGAACAAGTTCCCTCAGATTATCAGTTTATCAGTTTCAGAGAGTCCGATATGTTTAGTGGGTCGCTCCCCTGAGCTGTCGGATTGGCGCCTTTGAGTACATATCACGGGCCCACAGTTAAAATTAGCCACAAAGAGTTTTACAGATAGTTATGAGATCCCTTTCAAAAAGTTTTACAGAAAGTTGTTTTTGAGATCTCTTTCAGAAAATTTTACATAAATGTTTTGAGAGAAAAATTTTGAGATCTCTCTAGTAGTTTTGAGAAATTATTTTAGAAAATATTTTCTTTGGGATTTCTCTCCGAATTTATTTGAGAAGCTACTTGTTAGTTGTTTGTTTAGTGCATGCTTATAGCCTAAATTTATCTATTGATAAATTAGCATAGACTTCTCAAATATTCTGTGGATCCATAGTGACTTACTAAGCGTAAAGCTTATCAGTTTTTTTTCTTCGCATGTACAGATACTAAGGGTAAGGCCAAGGCCTAGGAAGATGATGAGGGAGTGGAACGCGTGCCAAGATGAGTTAACGGGAACGACCTTGGTGGCTTCTAGCTAGTTTTTATTTTACTCCAGTATTTCAGTTGTTAGAATAAAAGATTATTATTACTTTATTCTATTTGAGGATTGAAGTCTGAATAAATTCCTGGATCCAGGTGGTTATCACATTTGCTGATGATAACTAGATTTTTTTTTTGAGTTTTTATTTAGAGCTATAATTTTGTTATATTTGAGATTTTTATCAGGGTTATTTCTTAAACAAACGGCCGTTATATTGCAGTTTTTTTTATAGTAGTAAGGTTATGTAGCGTTCCCTTTAACCCTTAGAGGGGCGTTACAAAATTGGTATCAGAGCCCAGGTTGTCCCGTAACTTCATTTGTCACCGTACACGTGCTCATCATCTTCCAAGTAAGTATTTACAGTTAGTTTTAAATTTATGTGCTTGAGCAAGAAGAGTTTTATTAGATAGAGAACAGAAGTGAGAATGTTTTGCCTTTTTTTTATTGTGTATGGCACATAAATAAAAGTTTATATTTAGGTGCCTTAAGAAAATGAGGAGAACCCGTGGTCGTCCAGTTGGTAGCAACAATGAGCAAGGAAACAATCACGAGCAGGATTTAGCAGGATTAGTAGCGCAACTTCAGAGACAGTTGCAGGAGCAGCAACAAACCATCGACCGTTTGACCGCGAACAATCAAAGGGGCGGTGGTGAAGGGGGAAATGCTGGAAATAATCATGCTAGGGGACACTGAGCACCAAGACAAGAACCTCTGATGATCACATGGAGGAAGATCAAGCCCGCGGATTTCGAGGGGGGTCCATACCCTCTAGCTGCTCAGGGATGGCTGAAGACCGTGGAAGGCATTGCTAATGGGTTGGAACTAACAGATAATGACAAGGTTCGATGTGCATCTTACAGCCTCACCATGGATGCTCGAATATGGTGGGAGACCGTGGAAACAAGGTACAACATCGCGCAGATGACATGGGAGCAGTTCAAAGAGGAGTTCACCAACCAGTATTTCAACGCTAGTGTCACTCGTAGGTACCGGGATGAGCTTCAGAGTCTACGCCAGGGAACCATGGATGTTACAACCTTGGCGGCAAAATTTCAGAGACTGCTACGTATTTGTCCTACAGCTGCCCCGACGGAAAGAGATAAGGTGAGGATGTTCCCGGCAGCTCTTAGGAAGGATATAGCAGTTCACTTGGAGAATGGCAATCAGACTCCATCTACACTAGCTGACTGTGTTTTTATAGCAACTCAAAAGGAGTACTACATCTCTAGCGGTCCAGTACCCGCTCAGCCGCAGCCTGTGCCTTCGCAGTCAAAGAATCAGTCACAACGACACATGAACAATTCGAAGAGTAACAAGAAGAGAAACTTCACGGGCAATGATGGAAAAGGAGCTGGTCGTCATCAGGGACACCAAAATAAACAGATGAAATTTCCACAGTGTGCATATTGTGGCCGTAATCATCCAGGCCAATGCAGATTGGGTTCTAGAGCCTGCTACACTTGCGGCCTTGAAGGCCATATGTCGAGAGATTGTCCAAGAAAGAATCAACAAAACTACCAGATCACTCACATGCCAAGAAATCCAACACCTTCAGCGGCTGTCCATAATATGCAGGCTTATCTAGAAGGACCATCCATCCAGCAAGGGCGTCTTGAGGCACCACCAGAGGCTCCGGTTGCTAGAGTGTTCACAATCTCGAAAGAGGAGGCATCGATAAATCCCGGTGTTGTCACAGGTCAGATACTTGTTCTTAATAGATACGCTAATGTGCTATTTGACACTGGAGCCACACATTCCTTTGTATCTCTTGAGTTTGCTAGATCGTTAGCAGCACATCAAGATAAGTTAGATTGTAAGTTCACCACAGCACTTCCGTCAGGAGAGATCATGTTGTCGACTCATTGGTTACGAGCAGTGCCAATGAGTATTGCAGGGAGAGAGTTATTTGTGGATCTAATCGTGCTTGATATGAGAGATTATGACGTGATTCTCGGCATGGATTTTCTGCAGAAGTATAGTGCTTCAATTATATGCCGAAAAAGAATTGTTAGTTTTGCGCCTGCAGGGTCTAATCCTTTCTTGTTTCTTGGGGAGCCAAAAGGATCAGGGAAAGTGATGATTTCTGCATTGCAAGCAAGGAGACTTATTCGGAGTGGATGTGAAGCTTTCTTAGCTCACATTGTAGACAAGAGCATTGGAGAACCCATTCAGTTATCTGAAGTTCCAATTGTGGAGGATTACAGTGATGTTTTTCCCGAAGATCTTCCTGGACTACCACCGAGTAGAGAGATTGAGTTCGAGATTGAGCTGCTGCCCGGTACTGCACCAATATCTAGAGCACCATATCGAATGGCCCCAGTGGAGTTACAAGAACTCCACAAACAGTTGCAGGAGTTGCTAGAGAAGGGTTTCATTCGGCCCAGTTACTCACCGTGGGGAGCTCCAGTATTGTTCGTGAAAAAGAAGGATGGCACAATGAGGTTGTGCATAGATTATAGAGAGCTCAATAAAGTGACTATCAAGAATAGGTATCCCCTGCCTAGAATTGATGACCTGTTTGACCAGTTGAAGGGAGCGGTGATTTTCTCCAAGATCGACCTTCGTTCAGGGTATCATCAGCTAAGAATCAAGGAAGGTGACATCCCAAAAACAGCTTTCAGGTCGCGGTATGGACACTATGAATGTGTGGTTATGCCTTTCGGCCTGACTAATGCTCCAGCGGCGTTCATGGATTTGATGAATAGAGTGTTCAGGGAGTTTCTTGACAAGTTTGTCATTGTTTTCATTGATGATATTTTGATCTACTCAGAGTCCAAGGAGGAGCATGAAAAACACTTGAGAGAAGTACTGGAGACACTGAGAAAACTTAAGCTATATGCTAAGTTTTCAAAGTGTGAGTTCTGGCTTGATCATGTAGCATTCCTTGGCCACGTAGTTTCAAAGCAGGGAGTTTCGGTAGATCCCTCAAAGGTAGCAGCTGTCCGAGATTGGAGCAGGCCGAAGAATGCGAAAGAAGTTCAAAGTTTCTTAGGCCTTGCGGGGTATTATAGGAAGTTTGTGGAAGGCTTCTCTGCTATAGCTCTTCCATTGACTACCTTGACTCGTAAGGGTAAGAAATTTGAGTGGACTGATCGTTGTGAGAAGAGTTTCCAAGAGCTGAAAGATAGGTTGACATCTGCACCCATTTTAGCACTCCCAGAAGGCAAGGAAGGGTTTGTTATCTACACAGACGCATCGAAGATGGGACTTGGAGCAGTTCTTATGCATAATGAACGAGTTATTGCTTATGCGTCTCGGCAACTCAAAGACTATGAAGCGAATTATCCTACCCATGACTTGGAGTTGGCAGCAGTGATACATGCGTTGAAGATTTGGAGACATTACTTGTATGGAGTCCAGTGCAAGATCTTCACTTATCACAAAAGTCTGAAATACATATTCACACAGAAGGACCTCAACATGAGGCAAAGAAGGTGGCTTGAGCTAGTGAAAGACTATGATTGTGAGATCCTTTATCATCCGGGGAAAGCCAACAAGGTAGCAGATGCACTTAGTAGGAAGTCTTCTGCAACAGTAATGTCCATGATGGTAATGGATCCAAGGCTGAGGAAGGAAATTGAAGATTTTGAGTTGGAGATTGTAGGTGGGCGACTAGCAACTATGACAGTGACTCCATCAATATTTGAGGACATGGCTATGAAGCAAGAACTTGATCCCGAGTTAGTTAAGTTGAAGGAGTGCGTCAAGGAGGGAAAATGTCCTGAGTTTCGTTTGGATGAGAATGGGAGATTATTACTCCAAAACAGGTTGTGCATCCCGGACATCGAGGGGTTGAGGAAGCAGATTATGAAGGAGGCTCATGAGACACCATTCACTATGCATCCTGGTTCGACCAAGATGTACCACGACTTGAAGGAAAGCTTTTGGTGGTCAGGGATGAAGAAAGATGTTGCAAAGTTCGTTCAAGCATGTTTGACGTGTCAACAAGTTAAGGCTGAACATCAAAGACCAGGTGGAGAACTTCAGCCTATCCAGATTCCAGAGTGGAAATGGGATGAGATATCAATGGATTTTATTATGGGTTTGCCGAAGACAACTGGAGGTTATGACGCTATATGGGTTATAGTGGACAGATTGACTAAATCTGCTCATTTTATCCCAATTTCAGCAAGTATTTCTTTGGAGAAGTTGGCAAAAATATATATACAGGAGATTGTTAGATTGCATGGTGTTCCGAAGAGTATTATTTCAGACAGAGATTCCAGATTTACGTCTCACTTTTGGAAGTGTGTACAACAATCATTGGGCACGAAATTGAAGTTTAGTACTGCTTTTCATCCTCAGACAGATGGCCAGACGGAGAGGACAAATCAGATTTTAGAGGATATGTTACGGGCATGCGCTCTTGATTTTCAAGGAGGATGGCCTAAATACCTTAGTTTGGCAGAATTTGCTTATAATAATAGTTATCAAGCAACCATCTGCATGGCTCCATATGAGGTGTTGTATGGGAGAAGGTGTAGATCTCCCATATCATGGTATGAAACATGAGAAAAGAAGGTTCTAGAAGAGGAGTTACAAGGAAGGACTGAGTTGATTGATGAGACCTCTGAAGCTATTAAGACTATCAGACAAAGGATAGAATCTGCCCAGTGCAGACAGAAAAGTTATGCAGATGTTCGAAGGAGACCTCTAGAATTCGAAGTGGGCGATTTTGTTTTTGTCAAGATAGCCCCGATGAAGGGCGTGATGCGATTTGGGAAGAAAGGAAAGCTTAGCCCTAGATTCACCGGACCATATGAGATCACTAGACGAGTTGGGAAGGTAGCTTATGAGCTCGCGCTACCTGAGGAGTTTTCTGGCATTCATAATGTCTTCCATGTTTCGATGTTGAGAAAATACTTTGCTGATCCGGAACATGTTTTGATACCCCCCATAATAGAAGTGCAAAATGATTTATCTTACGAGGAGAAACCAGTACAAATTCTTGATTGTGAGGTTAGACGTCTTCGGAACAAAGAGATAGCTCTAGTAAAAGTACTGTGGCGAAATCAGAAAGTTGAACAAGCTACTTGGGAGGTCGAGGATGACATGAGACGTCGTTATCCGGAGTTGTTCTAAGTTTCGAGGACGAAACTTTTATAAGGTGGGAGGGATTGTAACACCCCGATTTTTTTTAATGAGCTAACTATTTTAATAATTAGTTATTATTTATTTTAGTCAATTAAATAAGTTTCTTCTATGATTAATGTGATATATTGTTTAACATATTTTATTTGTACAGATAACGTCGTCCGGAAAGCTCATATAATTTTAAGTGAGGAAATAATTAATATTTCATATTATTAGTATATTACTAAAATGGAGAACATAATAATTTGAAGTTTAAAAAAAAAATGTTTTAATGTTTTATCAGATTTACTGAAAGGGAAAATGTTTTTGAAACAATTATTTTAAAGATAATTAGAGGCCCGAAGTTGTTAACTTGGCCCAGATAAATGTGTTTAAAGCTGAAATCCCTAGAAAGGCAAAATAGAATATTTAACCATCCGTAAAGCTTGAGGATCGGCTCTCTTCTTTAGCTGCCACTTGCCGTTCTTTTAATCTGAACACTTCAAGCTTTCCTTCCAACTCTTCATCAAACCAACCAGATTATTTATCAGATTTATCTTTGCATCTTGTCGGGTAAGCTTGATTTCTTCCATCTAATTATAATTCGACCTTGAGTAGTTAATTTTATAAGGTTTTGCTTGAATCCTTCGTTTTTGAAACTATCACAGAATCAGATCCTTTGAGAATGTTTTGCTTCGTAGTGCAAATTTTGTGATAACCTTGGGTTTATTTCAATTCAATCGTAGACCAATTTGGCTGCTGCAATTTTCAATTTAAAAGACTTCTTTACAGTTTTTGAAGGCTTATGATCTGGAAAAAAAAAATGATTCATCTGAAACCTAAGCTTGTGTTGATGTTTTAATTTAGTAGATAGAATGTTGAAGTGGGGGGCTGGTTTCGTTTGTTTAATTTTTAGGACCTTAAGTGATGGGAATTAATTGGTTGATGAATGGAGATTGTAAAATAGAAGAATTTCTATCCAGAATGTATAATCGATTGGTGCTTAGCTAGATTTCTACACTGGATGACCTGAATATTAGTTTAGTTAAAGGTGATATACTGATAAAGTAGTGTTTTGTAAAAACAAAAAGAAGGCTACTGAATTGATTTTTGGTCGGCATTTTCAGCAGAAAAATAGATTTCAATGATAGAGTTTGGTTCCCAGTACCATCTAATTAGGTTTTGGTTATAGCATAATGAGTTTAATCGTAATATTATATTATATTTAATTAAAGATTTAAGAGAAGAGCTTATCGGAAGACGTTATCGAGGTGCCACATTTATCTGAGTATTTTGAGTTCAGCTATTATCAGGTAAGTTCACTACCACCTGTACATGTTTGTTCAACCAAATGAAAGAAAGAAGTCTGGTTGATTTTTAGTAGATGATTTTAGACTATTTGCTATTATGTGAGCTTGGTGAATTATTTGTTGAGTTATTGCAATTGTTGTATTAAGTTATGTTTATTATCTAGCATAGTCAAGATTATGTCAGTATCTTATTTGAAGATTTTAATGATGTTTTTACCCAAACGTCACTATAAAAAAAAGAACTAATATTTAAAGTGAAAGATCATGTGATATGTACTCGGGAACAAGTTCCCTCAGATTATCAGTTTATCAGTTTCAGAGAGTCCGATATGTTTAGTGGGTCGCTCCCCTGAGCTGTCGGATTGGCGCCTTTGAGTACATATCACGGGCCCACAGTTAAAATTAGCCACAAAGAGTTTTACAGATAGTTATGAGATCCCTTTCAAAAAGTTTTACAGAAAGTTGTTTTTGAGATCTCTTTCAGAAAATTTTACATAAATGTTTTGAGAAAAAAATTTTGAGATCTCTCTAGTAGTTTTGAGAAATTATTTTAGAAAATATTTTCTTTGGGATTTCTCTCCGAATTTATTTGAGAAGCTACTTGTTAGTTGTTTGTTTAGTGCATGCTTATAGCCTAAATTTATCTATTGATAAATTAGCATAGACTTCTCAAATATTCTGTGGATCCATAGTGACTTACTAAGCGTAAAGCTTATCAGTTTTTTTTCTTCGCATGTACAGATACTAAGGGTAAGGCCAAGGCCTAGGAAGATGATGAGGGAGTGGAACGCGTGCCAAGATGAGTTAACGGGAACGACCTTGGCGGCTTCTAGCTAGTTTTTATTTTACTCCAGTATTTCAGTTGTTAGAATAAAAGATTATTATTACTTTACAATCTAATGGCAAACTTGTTTCTTCAAAAGTTTATAACTTGCTTAGAGTTAAGGCATCCACCCGTTGGTGGATGTCCTTTATTTGGAAAAATTACATCCCCCCAAGTTTTCCTTCACAACTTGATTGGCATTCCGAAATAGGTTGGCTACAAATGATAATCTCCTTCAATTAGATGTAGTTAACATTTGTGCCTTGTGTAAGGCTGGGCTGGAAACTGTCCCACACCTATATTTTGAATGCCCTTTTGCAGGTAAAGTTTGGAGATTGGTCAAAGATTGGTTGAAAATTCCAAGGCATATGGGCGCTTTGACGAGTTCGGTCAAGTGGATAAACAAGGAGAGGAGTGGAGCTACCATCCAAGCAAAGACAGCTAGGATTGCTTTCTGCTTCTCAGTTTACTGAATCTGGAGGGTCAGAAACGTTGCAAGATTTGATGGAATACTACCAAAGGAAGAAGAAGTTTTTGCACGGATAAAGTACATTGTGTACAAAGTTTTGTATAGTATTTACCCACAAGACTTGGTGGTGTTTTGATAAACTTTCTGCCGTTTGCATGTCTTTTTGGCCGAGAATTAGCTTGAGTAGCTAAATTAGGCTTGGTTACTATAGTGGCAGCCATATTTTTGGAGGTGATGGGTTATCCAATCTTTGGATAACCTGCAATTTTGCTCACCCTTTTTGATGTACATATAAACTCTTTGGATGGTCCTCAATATATACTTACTGTTCATCGAAAAAAAAAGAAAATCAATGAAACAAAAGAAAAGACATAGGTCGGTGATCTGTTTGAAATTACGCTGGCCCAACAATTCCGAAGTATCTGTAATCCTTCTGTCTGAAAACAAAGAGCAGATAGAAACCAACGAAAGTAAATGAAAAAATTAGAAAACCCTAATACTTGAACATCCCACTCTGTCTAGATAAAGAGTACCTTGAATATGGACTGGCAACTGATTGGAGTGATGAGAGATACTCTGAGATCGAGAAGAGGATGAAGGTTGCGCCAAAAAATGAGCCACTTCGTTCGCTTGCCTATAACAGTGATGGAAGGAAAATCTTCTCTCAGTAGCGACCTGCCTAATGGGCTATGTGAGGAAGTGAAAAGGAGCAGAGAGATGTTCTTGACGGAGAAGAGATACTGCTGCCAACGAGTCAGATTCAATTTCAACTCCAGAAAAATCCGCGTGTAATAACCAATGTACATCGACAAAAATAGCTTTATGTTTAGCTTCAAGGATCGAGTTGGCTTGGAGGGGAAAAGAACCAGCGAAGATAAGAAGGCCATCTGAGTCTCTCAGAACAGCACCACCGGAGGCATGATTCCGATTGAAGGCTGCATCTACATTCATCTTAAAGGTATCTTTAGGCTTCTTCCAATTGATTTTAAGAAATGTGGGTCTATGAAGTTGTTTATTAACTGGAAACAATCCTTCTTCAATGAATAAATCAGGCACCTTATTTAATTTAGAGAAATTCATACCTGCCGCCCAGGAGTAGATATAGTGCTTAATGGATTTCTTAAGCAACTCCTGATTAAAATTGGTAGAGTTGTGATCCCAATTAAGAGAAGCAAAGGAATTCCAAATATGCCAAAGTATAATACCAGGGATAACATGTTTGAAAATATCTGTGATTGGCAATAGGAAACCTCCCAATTAGGAATTGGAATCAAGAAAAGACCCATAAAATAAACCCAAATGGGTTTAATCTGTGAACAACTGTAGAAAATGTGAGAAGTAGTAATATTCTCACTTCTACAGAAAGGGCATTGGGTAGGGAACACACAAATGTTGAACCCGCAGAGGTTATTTGGAAGAGGTAAGATGTTGTTGAAAAGCTTCCACATGAAAAGTTTAATAGGGTTGAATTGTTTTGGGTGCCAAATGTGCTGATTTGAGAAAGTGACTGATTGTGTTTCTCTCACTTCTTGAAATGCAGATGACAGTGTAAAGCAACCATCTTGAGAGGGCTTCCAAACAATGCAGCCATTTTGAGTTTCAACTAGATCCATACCCTGTTCATGTGTGTGACATAGTTCTTTCAAGATGGTTGAGTCAGGTAATCTGGCTTTCATATCAGTCCCCCTAGGATATCTAGCATGCATGTAATCTTTCTCTATACAAAACGAAGTGGAAATGCTAGCACTTTTCCCGCCCAAAATGCCGGGTCAAAAAACGAGGCAACCATGGATTTTCGGATTTTTTGGGGTTGGGTCCGCATGGGTCTCGCAAATTTGCTTTTGAATCAATTACCGGTGCTTTTTGGGGTTGGAACCTCAGTTGATTTTTTTTTAAAACCGAGATGGTCAAAGCATTCAATGCTGGTGGTTGAGCAATTAATGAGTTAGGTGGCCATTAATGAGGTGGTTGAGAGGGCTGTAGCATATTACCCAATGAATTTTTTACTAGCCTTGCAAACCCTAAAATTTCGAATCTACTATAAATGCATAGTATTTCTCATTTCGAACTCACCACAAACCCATGGCAACAAGCAAAGAAAATCCTGAGCCAAATAACAGTAGTTTGTATTCCATGATAAAGGATGTTGACCACACTAGGTCAAATTGGGCTCTCAGAGTAAGGGTGGTTAGAGCTTATGAGGTTCCCTCTTATTCCAAAGGAGGTGCTAGACTGGAAGTCATCTTTCATGATGAAAATATAATTTTATCATTTCTGTTATTTATTTTATTTTTGTAATTTAAGTCTATCATCTTTCACTGCTCAAGCATTCAGATTTCTAATACCAATTTCTGTATTTTTTCAGGGGGACCATATACATGCAATCATAAAGAGACCATTCATGCATCTCTATCAAACAAAACTGGTGGAAAACAAATGTTTCAGAATCTAGAAGTTCTGGATAACTATTTCAACTAAAAAACCACTGAACACCCCTATCTTCTGGAGTTTTTCAAACAAACTACAGTCTATGACATGAATGCCGAAACTTTTTCAAATATGGTGTACAATTTCCACCAATTTGATGTACTGCAGAGTCTAAGGGTCGTCAACGACATATTGCTAATCGGTGATTTCATATACTTTGACTAAGCTATTTTCCAGTTAGTTTTCACAATTTAACATCACAGATCTGTCATATAGATGTCATTGGGAAGTACATCGGTAAGACTCCAGTACAAACACCTATCGTTAATGGGAAACCTGGGAGGCGTATTGAACTGACTTTGGAAGATCCAGAGTACTCTCCTAACCTTAAAAAATCACGACTTATGTTGTATGAGGGTGTTGTATTCTTTTATACTCTTATGGTGATATTTGATTTTGAATTGTAGCGGAAATCAGATTGGATGCACATTGTGGAATAATTACTGCAAGCAGTTCACTGATTTTTATGAGGTGCATAAAGACGAAGCTATCTACATCATCCTGCAAATGGGAAGACCTAGACGCTATCAGGGTAAAGTTTATAAAAAATTTGATGTTTATAAAAACTTATAGATTGAGTCCTTTATAAATTTGAATGCTAATGAAAGTTTTTAAATTTTTACTGGTCAAATTTTTGTGGGTACTTCTTTTGATGTTTCTAAGTTGATAATGAATGGATCTACTCCAGAATTTGAAGACTTCAAAGCCTAGTGAGTGGTTTTTGTTTCTTGCACACATTTTAGAACTTCTTAACTTATAAAGGACTCAATTTATTGTGTATCATACGAAACAGATTCAGACCAGATGACGATAACACGACAATGACAACTTTCACTGCAAATTCAGTGGGTCAAGGCAGTGAGGAAGTTTTTCGAGGAAAGGCTACTATTACAAACATTTCAGACTTGCTACAGGAACCACAAGTAAAAGTTATTTCAGAACTAGGTTTAACCTGTCAAAATATGATAAGTTAATATCTAAAAATTTATGTTGATGCAGGATGGAACCTATTGGCTACTCGGTGACATAGTATCATTAGACAACTACAAGGAATGATGCTACCTTAGCTGCCCGACATGCAACAAGAAAATCAAGCCAGAGGATGAGAGGTTCAGATGTATAACATGTGACACAACTCTTCCTGAAGGAATTCTGAGGTTGTAAAATTCCTTATGATTGTTGTAATGTTACTTTTTTATTTAAGGATGAGAACATGAAAACTTTGATCTCACATTTTTAAAATGCAGATACAAAGTCTCAGTTTGTGTAATGGATGACTCAGGTCATTCTACATTCACCCTATGGGATAGAGAATGTACTGAGATTGTGGGAAAGACAGCAGCAGCATTAAGGAAGGAAGTTGAAAAGGTTGATTCTAAACCCCCTTTGTATTAGGAAAACATAACTTCATGGAAATAACTAAAGACTGTTTTTTCAGAAAACTGGAGACCCAACACACTTTCCTGAGGACATAGAGGCTCTAATTGACCAAAGAGACATCTTCAAAATTCAAGTGAAAGCAAGAGATCAAGATTGTTCCTATAAAGGCCCTGTGTCTTATGGGATCCTAGCAATGATAAGAGATCAATCTATCCTGTCCCTATATGCTAAAACGATATTCATACACTAGAAGTTGAAGATAACACAGATGTAGAGAAGGTATATACCTTTTTTAAAAGTGAGATCAAAGTCTTGCAGACAAAATGTAACGAACTTATAATTGTAGAGTGGATCTACTAGAACTGAGGTGGAAGATGAAACTGCTTGCAGCAAGTCAAAACAGAAAGTTGGGATGATACTTACGTATTAGAAAGGTCTTATGTGGTATACTTTATACTAATACAATGGTTGTCTATACAGACTGTGGTGTTGGAGGACGATGATTTTGTAAAACCAACCCAACTTGAAGACAAAAAAGAAAGGAAGTTCGACAAGGTAGCTACATACATCATATTTAGTTGAATAATATTCTGAAATATTGTGCCGCGACGGTTTAGCTTAGTTGTACACCATGTCTACTCTTTGCATAGGTTTAGATGATTGTTCCTAAATTGTGGCCTACTGAATTCCTTGATCCTAAGAATAGCCCTGAAATTCCTAAGTGCATTAAGTCTTTGTTAGGTTATTCCAAACTCTCAAAAACGGGACTTTTTATTCCTTACCATTCACCATTCACCACCGCCTTTACAAGTTTTTCTGATCAGTAGCTAGTTTATTAGTGTGTGCTACCATAACTTTGAGGATGTTGTGAATAATTTTGTCATTTAAGTTAGCTAGAGTACAAAGATGTAGTTAAGGGAAGAATTTTCTTGGTTTAGTCTTTCTGTTATGTGAATATCCCTTTAACTACCTATGCATGCTAATTATTTTAATTCCGTGTGGTGATTATCATAAGTCCAGTTGTTCAGTTTGCTTGAGGACAAGCAAAAGCTTAAGTGTGGGGGAATCTGATAAGTCCATATTTAGACATGAATTTGATGCGTTTTGGGATCAGATTTGATGGTTTTCCCTAGCTTTAAGGTGTTACAAGCCTCAATTTTAGCTCAAGTTATGTTTATCGGGCGTTGGTTCGAGTTTTGTGTCATTTGGAGTCAAAATGAGGATTTTAGAGTTCGGCACCAGCGCTTGAGAAGAAATAAGGATGAGTTGAGAAGCATTAGATAGTGATTTGAGAGCTTTGGATGTCACCGAAGGTTCACGATGAAGATTTGAAGGAAAAAGAGCTCTAGGATTGGCTACGGGATCAAAAGAAGATGAATGGAGCTTGAAATCGGCAATCGGAATGACCTTCTGTTAATCGTTCAAGTATATATCTTTGTAGAAACATTCAATGTATACGATTCAAATT